ATCATGTATGCACTTATAAGAATCTGATGTGATAAAATAGTAAAAAAAATATATAAATTTGGAATCCACAAGGTCTAATCTTAGAATGAAAGAACCTCTACGCACCCCTTCAGTCACAACAACTATAGATCCAGAGGAAATCGTTAAATATTTATACATGAGTATATACCCAAAGATAGAATAAGAAAGAGTGATCCGTTTAAAATAGAAGTTAAGAAAAATACCTAATATCTATAGTTTTTGGATTAAAATTGGTTTCTAGCCTCGCTTTAAAAGCTCATCAACTCTAGGTTAGTTCTGATGACTCCCCAATAAAATTGGTTTAAAATATAAGTTGATCTGGTTAGCACACAAATGAAGTGGTTGAAGATCCTATTGATATTTGATACCCATAAAAGACTAAAAGTAAATGGGAGATTGTTGAATATTCTCACATCGGATAGGATAAAAAAGACCGATGAGTTTAAAATAGAAGTTAAGGCACCTAGTAGCTATAATTTTTGGTTAAAATTAGTTCCCAACCTCGCTTGAAAAGCCCATCAACTTTAGGTTAAACTTATCACTACCCAATTACAAAAATACTCAACGAAGTCTAGATCCTACCAAATATCACATAGAAATACATAAGTAAATCATGACCCATATAACTTTATTCAATTAGGAAAACATGAGATGTTCTTTTGTTGGGGGTTGGATTTTTTTTTTTTTTTTTGTCGGGGAGGGGGTTGGGGGTTCAACCTACCTAATGGAGAATGTATAGAACAAAATGATGATGTACCATCCCCCCCACCCGGCCCAAAAAAAAAAAAAACCTAATAACCAAATGATGGTGTACCGTCTCCTGACCCGTGAAGTAGGTCAGAATATACGGCAAAGAATGAATATCATAAGGATGAAATAGGCTTGAATATATCTGGCCTTTTGCCTTCTTTATGCTTTAAGAACACGGTACATCAATAAGCACAAAGACGGAATATCCTGCTCTTTAAAAAAAAAAAAAATTAACACAAAATGATGGCAAGGTCAAGAATATATTTAACTAGGTACCATTAGTTAAGTTAAATGGCAAAGGCTAATAAAACGAGATGGTAATTTATTTTGAATTGCAAATGCATTGAATCACCAACTATTGTACGTACCCAGTGAATAGGACGTTCTCAGAGGATGTGCAGTCTAGCCAATGAAATAAGATATTATACAGTTTTACCAACTTAATTATTCCGTGTTCTTTGTGTTGTGCTGTAAAGATAATTTTAGCATTAATTTAAAGGGTATATATGAGATCACTTTTGACTTTATTTTGGCGTAGTACAAATTAATCCGCGGCTTAAGTCACGTAAAGAGTACAAATTAAAGAGCATATTTCACCCGCCAGGAATTGTCAGGATATGGTCGTATATATGGATTTACGTCCTGCTCATAGTGTGAGGGTTTGAACTCGAGCGCAAGAGTCTTAATTAACCTACATTCACCTGTTGCCAAACAAGTGCAAATTTCATAAGAGCAAATTTGTACATATATAAATCCCTTGTAATTTGATCATGACAGAAACTCCCTAGGTTAGTTTTTTTTTTTAAATCTTTTAACCTGAGTAAAACTTTGCGGGGGTCTATAGGCAACTAACCTATATTTCATAATAACAATAGCTTGATTATAATTATTTGCACACGCTTCCATGCAGAACCATTTATATAGAATAGAACAGTGAATATATAATTGTATAGATTCGTGAACCTTTTCAAATTAGTTAGGCAGATGCTTCCGTTGGGAAGTAGTTATCAAGTGGTCATATATAGACTCATAGCTACCTCTTAAGTAGGAAGACTAGGAACATCATTATAGCGAACCAAACAAGAAGAAAAATCTCGACCAAGAAAACAACAGATCAAGAAGGAAAAAGAGCTGGCAGAATTATATTAGGGTCAGAAGATGTGACATCCACGTCCTAAATAGATTAAGGGCCTGTTTGTTTCACCATTTTATAGAATAGGATTAGTATTTGGGCTCTGACAGTGGCATTTTCGTAATTTGTGGATTCTTTGTGAATCCTATTCTGGAGTTTGGCTCAGCAAAAATTTTGGGATTACATTTTCTACAAAGTAGCTACAGTTGTCCTTTTTTATAGAAACCCAAATCCTAGCTTCGGGTTCGGATTTGGGCGAGATTTCTGACACTGAGCTATGTCGTCGATTCCGATTCCTGGGCTTCACGATTTCGATCCCTAGATCTGGAATCGCTGTGCCGCTCCCGCCTCAATCGCCCTCTTCCTCGCGCCTCTGCTCCCGCGCTTCGTCTTCTTCAACTTGGGTTCGGGCCTCTTTCTCGAAACCCTAGCTCTTGATTTCCACGAGCTTGTTGGTGGGTTTCTTGCCTTCGATTCTTGGTGATCCCTTCTGGTTGGGATCTTCTTCAACTTGGGTTCGGGCCTCTTTCTCGATCTTGTTCTGGTTGGAGTGTGGCTACGGTGTTTTCTTTGACGTCGGTGGGTTTTTTGCTTGAACGTCGGCATTTCCCCCCTCTGCAGTAAGGTATAAAAATTTCCCCCTCTTACTTTGGCTTATTTTTCCAGTGATTTGAGGAATTAAATTTAATTTTGAAGCATATGAGAAATAGAGGCACACAGCAATTTCAATGATTTGTTCGATTAATTTCATAATATTACAGCAAAACAATTCATGCGGGTATCTGTGTAGTGGATTTTTTGTAAATGTGCAAGAATTAGGTTGTTAGGTAGATTAATTTCATGCGGGTATCTGTGTAGAGATTAATTTCATAATATGTTTCAAATCAGTCTTTTAATAACTTAAATTGCTGTTTTTTTACTTTATTTAATTTTTTTGTGTGCGTGTAAATTATTAGTAATCTAACCATATAGTTTGTTTGTTTTGGGTCTATCTTGCTTGTTTAGAATTGTGTGAGATGGAATGCAACATTAGTTAAAATAATTTATTATTGCAATTAGATTTCTTGCTTTAAAAGAAATAAATATTTGTATCAATTATCTACTTAATTTTGACAAGAAATAAGTAGCCATCTTAAGCTGTAACTGTATGATAATTTTAAAACGGTTGTAGATGGATATGGAAGATGAGGAAGAATTGAAGAGGATGTGTGCTAATACAGCTGTCTGCGCCGTGGTCACTTTGGTAACATGTATTTTGAGAATGCGTGCTAAGCGCAAGAGAATACCAAATTGTTCGTCGCAAGAAAGGGTCAGGAAAATAAGTTGTAGAGAGGCTCATTTCAGATGTGTATTGGAGGGTTATCAAGATAGCTGCCAATCTTATATTAGAATGAGACCGACGGCCTTTTTTAAACTTGTTGAAGTAATGAAAGCAAACGGTTTATTAAAAGATACGAGACACGTTCAAGTTGAAGAACAACTTGCTATGTTCTTGAGTATTATTGGGCACAAAACTAAAAATAGAATAATAAGAACTGAGTTCATAAGATCAGGGGAAACAGTTAGCAGGTATTTCAATAAAGTCTTGTCTGCAATGAATGGATTACGTGATCGGTACATGAAGCAAGCCCCAAAAGAAGTTCCCGAGGAGATTGCAAACAACTCAAATTATTTTCCGTACTTTAAGGTAAATTAAATACATACAACTTAATAATTTTCCAAATAAACTTTTTTTATTTAACTATGTATAATTTATAATTTTTTGATGGATATTTTGATGGATATTGTTGTGTTTATTGCAAACTATTAATGTTGCAATTTGTATTTTCATTCTGAAGAACATCTATGTCGTTGTGGGATTGATGAATTGGTATATTTGCAATCTTTGTTGCAGGTAAGGTCGTGGAATTTTACTTATGTCTTGGCTGGCTGGGAGGGGGCAGCAAATGATTATAGGGTATTACAAGACGCCCTGTCTAGGCCACAGCCTTACGGGCTCCGAGTTTACGATGGTATTCATTCTCACTTGTGCACATTATGAATAATATATTAAATACTTGGCAATATTTGAGATTTTAAAATACTGTTTAATTAATGTAGGTAAATATTACCTATGTGACGCTGGATACACCACAATGCCAGGTTTCATATCCCCGTATCGCGGTGTCCGATATCATTTAAAAGAGCACACCGGTAGGACACCAAAGAATAGGAAGGAGTTGTTCAATTTAAGGCATTCATCTTTAAGATCAAAAATTGAGTGCACATTTGGGATACTGAAGAATCGGTTTAAAATTCTTGCGGGGAAGCCGAATTATCCATTTCCCACTCAAGTGGACATTGTACTAGCGTGTACTGTGTTGCACAACTTTATTGCCTTGGAGGATCCGGATGATGATATTTTAAATGAAAATGTTGAAATTGATGAAGATACTGGGGAAGAGACAAATGAGGACGATTCAAATGTGATGGACTATACTCAAAGTAGGTCACAAAGAGAGGATCGAGATGTTAGAAATGAATGGAAGGAGTTACGAGATCAAATTGCTTGGGCGATGTGGGTGGATTATTGTGCAAAGTACAATGGTGGTAACACAATGGAGAGCGGTTTAACTTAGTGTGGTATTTGTCCTATGGCTATGTAATAACTTGGTGAATTTTAAAATACTGTTCGCATCGATATTGTTTAATGTTTCTTTGCTTGTAACAAACCATTACTACTTTTATCACTTGCTATTTTGTTATGTTGTTTGAACTAGAAATATCATCGTTTACTATATTCCCTGCTAAATGCATACATATCCCATATTCTATAAATTTCTTTATTGTTAATATGGCTATGCTTACAAAATATATTAGGTATGGCTAACAATCCGGCAGATAAGCAAAGCGTGCCTTCTCATTCGAATGCAATGCCAAGTCCTACATCAGGGATTAACATGAACTACATGCCTGTTCGACCACAGCCATTCACCTCACCTCCGCATACTTTCTCACCATTCCCACCATGGGATGGTAATTATGGTGGGATGACACAGCCGCCAATGTCATACATGAGCATGTTAGGCAGTCCACAAGGGTTGATGTTTCCCACAGCCAGTTCTCAAAGTAGTGGACCTAATCAATTTTCACCAAACACTGGTGATTCAGGTGGAAAGGATATTCATGACGTTGATGGTGCGTGTTTGTTGGAAATTTACAAAAAAAAAGTTCCGTGTACCAGGTTGAACTCAAGAGGCGTGGCTAATAAGTTTTGGCTTCCAGAGCACGATGATGTGCTTATTCCTTATCTTGCAGATTTAGCATTGGATGGCATGAAGCCAGACAAGAACTTCAAGGCTGAAGCTTATAAAATGGCTGCCATGAAAATCAACATGCAATTCAGGACTGATTTCACTCACCTGCATGTCATTAACCACTTGAAATGTTTGCGGAACAAATTCAATGACATGAAAGCTTGCCTTGATATAAGTGGTGCTGGGTGGGATGAAACAAGTAAAATGATTACATTGGATGAGGAAACCTTGAAATCTTGGGCCCAGGTATAACAATTCAGCATCTATCTTGTCACATTCAATTTAATACATTTGATTCTCTGGATTTATAAGTATTTATTATTGCAGGACAAATCCAATTCTAAGTTCAAAGCATACATAAACAAACCCCCTCCTCACTTCAAAAATTTACAAGTTATCATGGGTGATGATCAAGCCAAGGGTGATTTTGTTAAACCCGTGTACGCTAACATTGGGTCTAGTAGGTCCATACCTATTCCCGATGATGATTGCGAGATTCTAGAGGAGAGTGAAGCTGAACCACAGTCTGATGCTTGCAACCAACCACGTTCTGGTGCTGTTAACCAACCACAACCCACTAGATATAAGACTAAGAGTAAAGACAACACGACTTCATCATCTAACAAAAAAACCAGAAAATCTAATCGTGAAGAGGAAATGCTATGTGCCTTTGTTGAGTCCATGTCTCAGTCAATGAGGAATCAACACGTTATACACTGGACTGAGCAGTTGGCCACAGCGTTGAAGGAACATAGGTCTGAATATTCCGAGGAGTTCCTCGATAGGGTTTTAGACCATTTATATGACAATGAACGTGAAGCTAGGAGGTTTTTCATTAAATCTAAGGAAGGTCAACAGAGGTACATCACAAAATTAGTTAACGACCAAGGTTGGCCGGATAGCTAGTTTGTTGGGTTTCGATTATATTACGTTCTGGATATTGTTGTGTTTATTGCAAACTATTAATGTTGCAATTTGTATTTTCATTCTGAAGAACATCTATGTCGGTGTGGGATTGATGAATTGGTATATTTGCAATCTTTGTTGCAGGTAACGTCGTGGAATGATCATTGATTTCTTTGAATTTTCCGATTATATTTTGATATCAGGTAAGCTTTCTGCAGCTCATGCTGCTGCTGCTGTTTGGGTGAGCTCATGTTTTTTTGAGCTTTCTACAACTCATGCTGCTGCTGGTTGCTGGTTTGTGCATGTTTTAAGTTTTCTGCAGCATTTGCTGCTGCTGGTTGCTTTGTGCAGCATTTGCTGCTGCTGCTGGTTGCTTTGTGCAGCATTTGCTGCTGCTGGTTGCTGGTTTGTGCCTGTTTTGAGTTTTCTGCAGCAGCATGAGTTGCTGGTTGCTTTGTGCAGCATTTGCTGCTGCTGCTGGTTGCTTTGTGCAGCATTTGCTGCTGCTGCTGGTTGCTTTGTGCAGCATTTGCTGCTGCTGCTGGTTTTCCTTGCATTTGCTGCTGCTGTTGGGTTTGTTGCTTTTTTCTTCTGAGCTTGTGTAGCTCTTGACCCCTGGGTTTGTTTCTGTTTTGTCCAGAGCTTGTGTACCTCTTGGCCCCCGGGGTTTGTTTATGTTTTGTTCAGAGCTTGTGTAGCTCTTGACCCTTGGTTTGTTTCTGTTTTGTTCAGAGCTTGTTTAGCTCCTTGCTGGGTGGGTTTGTGCCTGTTTTGTGCTGAGCTTGTGATAGCTAGTTTGTTGGGTTTCGATTATATTACGTTCTGGATATTGTTGTGTTTATTGCAAACTATTAATGTTGCAATTTGTATTTTCATTCTGAAGAACATCTATGTCGGTGTGGGATTGATGAATTGGTATATTTGCAATATTTGTTGCAGGTAAGGTCGTGGAATGATCATTGATTTCTTTGAAATTTCCGATTATATTTTGATATCAGGTAAGCTTTCTGCAGCTCATGCTGATGCTGCAGTTTGGGTGAGCTCATGTTTTGAGCTTTCTGCAACTCATGCTGCTGCTGGTTGCTGGTTTGTGCCTGTTTATGAGGCAATATTTGAGATGAGATTGTAGCCTACATTGAATTGGCAATGTCTAGGCGAGGCAATTCATCTTTATAATGCAATATGTAATAAACATGTTTAAGTTATAGGTCGGGCAATTCATTTTTGTGCTGAGCTTGTGTAGCTCCTGTGAGTTGGGTTTGTTGCTGTTTTTGACAGAGGTTGTTTACCTCCTTGCTGTTGGGTTTGTTGCTTTTTTCTTCTGAGCTTGTGTAGCTCTTGACCCCTGGGTTTGTTTATGTTTTGTTCAGAGCTTGTGTAGCTCTTGACCCTTGGTTTGTTTCTGTTTTGTTCAGAGCTTGTGTAGCTCCTTGCTGGGTGGGTTTGTGCCTGTTTTGTGCTGAGCTTGTGTAGCTCCTGTGAGTTGGGTTTGTTGCTGTTTTTGATAGAGGTTGTTTACCTCCTTGCTATTGGGTTTGTTGCTTTTTTCTTCTGAGCTTGTGTAGCTCTTGACCCCTGGGTTTGTTTCTGTTTTGTCCAGAGCTTGTGTAGCTCTTGACCCCTGGGTTTGTTTATGTTTTGTTCAGAGCTTGTGTAGCTCTTGACCCTTGGTTTGTTTCTGTTTTGTTCAGAGCTTGTGTAGCTCCTTGCTGGGTGGGTTTGTGCCTGTTTTGTGCTGAGCTTGTGTAGCTCCTGTGAGTTGGGTTTGTTGCTGTTTTTGACAGAGGTTGTTTACCTCCTTGCTGTTGGGTTTGTTGCTTTTTTCTTCTGAGCTTGTGTAGCTCTTGACCCCTGGGTTTGTTTCTGTTTTGTCCAAAGCTTGTGTAGATCCTATAAAGGGGGTTGCTGCTTTGTGGGAGCTGTTTTGGTTTTCCTTGCCTGTGGATTAATTTGCGGTTTGGTTTTCAGCTTGTGTAGCTCCTTGCACTTGATATTTGGCAATGATGATGATCAGCGTTTACTGAGAATGCAATCTAACTTACATTGTTTATTATATCCAGATGAGGCAAAAGGGGATGACATTGCAGCCTACATTGAATTGACAATGTCTAGGCGAGGCAATTCATCCTTATAATGCAATCTGTAATAAACATGTAAGTTATAGGTGGGGCAATCAATGATGACAAGTTGATCTATTACTGAGCCATACAATATCAATTAGAATTTGTACCCAAGTCAAACAACAGTTTTCATTACATCCTCAATAGTTTTTGCAATTACAAGTACATGACATGAAGTTTGTAATAATTAAAATAACACAAAAAATTGCTAAGAAAATTGCCGAAATTTTCCAAGCTAGTAGTTGATTTTCGACAAGTCTCAATTCTTTCTTCAGCTTCTTTGATTGCAAGATATATTTATCTCCGTACCTATTTTCTTTGACATATTGGCTTCCTTGGGTGCTTGATGACTCTCCTCTTTCTTCAGCCCATTCGAAAAAATTGCATTCTTTATTTGGGAATTTTGCACACCCCCAATAACACCTACCCTTATTTTTTCCATTCTTGCACACTTTCATCGGTGTTCGGAGATTGCAGTCGCAATAAACTTCATAATTCTGCCAGCACCCTTCTGATATCATCCTGCAGCAAATTGAAGAGCTTGGGAATTTTTTTTGGGTTGAAAAATGAGAAAGATGGGATTATATGTGAGGCCTCAAGGTGTATTTATAGACACCATACCCCTAAAATAGCCGTTGCTACAGTGATTCCTAAGAAACAACAGTTGCTACAGTGTTTGATGATTGAAAATTCTGGTTTTTGGGCTTATTACCATTGCTACAGTGAAATTTAAATGTTGTTACAGTGTCTTTTGCTGGAAATAAGCATTTGGGGGCTTAAATAGCCGTTGCTACAGTGGTTGATGCTTGAAAATCTGTTTTTTGGGGGTTATTTCCGTTGCTACAGTGACGATCCCAAAAAAAATTGACTCCTTGAACCAAACATGGTATTAGGAATTGGAACAATTCTATAAAAGTGAGATTACTAATCCTTTGGGTGAAACAAACATTAAAGCCAAAAAAAGTTGGATTCCATAAAACTCAAACTTGTCTATAAAATTTTTATGGATTAGGTTGGAATCCATAAATTAAATAGGATTCCTAATCCTATTCCTAGTCATTGGTGAACCAAACAGGCCCTAAAAGAAGAAGGGGAAAAAGAACTATTTAACCCATTTAAAAAATAAGTTGCAATAATCTCTTTCATTAAACATATGGAAAATTGAATAATAATGATTAGGTAGCTTTCATGTTTTCATCAATCATCAAAAGCGAAGTTACGAAATGAGAATAGCCTTACACCAAAAACCAAATTTTTTTTGTTTGGCAAGAAAGAAAATTATTGTAAGATAGGAATTCATAAT